TTGTTGCTCATTGTGTGAGACCCATGTTATAAATTCCAGTGTTTTCTACATAATTCACAGTTCCTGCTAAGTGTTGCCAGTATGGGAAGCACCTTCAGGAAAGCCTCTAGAGACAACAGAGAGGCAGGCTGGGAGAAGGGAAAAGCACTCATTTCTAGGGCCAGAAGAAAAAGTGTTCCACTCTGGGATTCTGAAGTCAAACTCCCATGTTCTGAGTACCTGGGATGAATATCTTTCATGAAGATGCTCTAATTCACCTTGCCTCAAGGTCAGAGTTCAAAACTATCCTTAGTAAGTCAAAAGACCTAAGGTCTAAGGTTCAGCTACTGAAGGATATTGGTAGAAGATGTCTTATCTAAATACCAACAGACTTGGGCTCAGGTGTGTTTACTCTTGATCCTCAAGGCCAGATAACAGGTGTGGCTACCCAATGCTTGGAGGATTAAGAGAAGAAAGTCTGTTTGTTCCTTATACATGATAATAGAAGTCTTCTGCCATGGCCCCCTTTAAGTTGGGGTACTTAAGAATGTTGAAGAATAAACTTGGGGCATTCAGTATTCACTGGATTGCCCTCCTGACTCTATTCTGTGTCTCTATTATTTTGCTTAGGATCTTTACCTGCCCTTTCTCAATCCAAATTCCCCCTCTCAGGTATGAACGGGACTGAAGGCTCACAAAGACAGGTTTCCACAAATATCCTAGCTGCTGCTTTTCTATAGTTAAGAGGGAGTGTGTCCCATCTAGTTTACCTGTCTTTGATCCTGCTTTTCCATCTCTGACATCATGCCTGCGGCCTCACACTGGTCTGATCCCTATGGACAGGGGATCTTCCAAGACAGCAGAGGCTACTCTTGGTGGCAGAGTATCCTTGCAAATGTCCACTTTTCCTCCCAGTTATATACATCTGTTCTAATAGGGAGGGACAGCTTTACATCTCTGCCCTTGAAGAACTAGCCTCTCTGTGACTGCTTTCTATTATAGGTACTACTTGTTGCAACCTTGAACCCTTGGCATGATGGTTATGTAGTGAGACCAAATAGCGAAGGTGGATACAAAATAGCAAGTATTTGTTGAATAATTTGCAGAATAGTTTATAAATATCAGTGGTCTGAATGCAGGCCCAGCACATGTCTGAAACTCTGCTTGCCAAATCTAAAAAGTATCCATGATCGTCATGTAACTTGTTTCAATTGGGTGACATTAGACTGTGGTACAAGTCACAGGTGTGATGCTCTCATAACCAGTTATCTCCTGAAAGACCTCCAGCCTGTTTGTCTGGGGATCAGATAGGAAAGTGATGGGCATTAGAGGCAAATCTGTGAGAGGGCCAAGTCTGCTTGTCAGCTATAGCAGCTGTGACTAATATGAGACCAGTACTATTGAGGTAAATCCTCTGTAAAGTATTTACTAAGATTCAGCACACAGAGACTATGGTCTAGAGGGGCCAAGGCTGTCTCTCATTCTGTCAGCCAAACTTGGTAATGCGTAAGAGTCTCCCACATGGTACTGGTTTTGGTGGCATAACAGGCAAAGGAAATGGCAGGATTGTGTGATGACCAGATGTGCTGTGTGTGCTTTGGCAGGCAGAACCAGAGAAACAGAGCTGCCCAAGTCCTTTAGAGTCCAAATGTACATAAGTGAATCCTAGATGTTGGACACTGAGCTATTTACAGTGTCAGGCTTTGTTTTTGTTGTGAAGTGGTACTAAGTGTGCCCTAGTTCTTCCCTCTTGGAAGTAGAATTAATAATAGTCAGTCAATTTCTGCAAGTGACTAGAATTTCTGATTCTGCAGGTGGATGGGTCCCCGAATGAGGAAGATCAATCTTGATTCTTGGGCTCCCCCAGTGGATCAATGGGCTAATGAGCTGAGCCTATCTGCCTCCATTCTGTATCGGGCTCTGTCGTTAGCGATGGGACTGATCACTAGATCCTGTGAGGCTATGAGAGCAGGACCCAGAACACAGATACATGGCTTCTGTTTTCCCTCGGAGCTTTTTGTGGTTCATGAAAGGAGAAAAACTGGGAGATGGTAATGGACTGAGTCATGGGTAAGGTGCGGAAATCACATACTTCTTTGGGTCTGTCCATGGGACAGACTAGACCAAACTAACTACTCTCTGATGACAGAATGGACATGCCCATCTAGGTGAACTGGGAAATAAAGGGAGGGAGAAACAACACTGAACCAAGATGTCTCTGTTTGTCTATTTCTCTGTCTCCGCCTTATTGCAGATGGGACAAACTGATTCTAATAAAGTGATGACTCAGCTGCCTTTTCAAACACTCATTCAAGGCCAAAGGCAAGATTATGATAGATTACTCTATGTACTGCCTTGTGTTTTTTATAAAGTTTACCTGGGAACTTACCAAACTCAGCATTTTAATAGTATGTATCCAGGTAATATTGATTTATTATGCATGCAGTTTGGGTTTAATTTCCTTTTAGTAAGGTGATGTTAAATAATATTAATGTGTCCCAAATGATATCCTGATTTTTTTTCCAGAATGGAAAAGAAATCTGAAAATTTAAGTAATTTGCAAGAATCTGAGCATGTTATATACATCACGCAAAAAGTCAAAATTCAATACATTGATGTCAAACTGCTTAAACCAGTTTGCATAATAATCTCCATAATAATTACAAGGACTAGTTTAAATAACAAAAAATGTGTTTCTAATCAAAGTTTACTTAAGTATTTGGTTTTTTTTTTTTGAGCTTTCTTATTTCATAATAGTGAAAAGTAGCAGACTGGTGTAACTAATCTTAGAGTTTCATTAACCATATTTGCAGACTAACCAAAGCGATAAAAGGGATTAGAAAGAATATTCTCGTCTTTGTTCTCTGAGGTTGAGTGAGTCCCAGGGGATTGTGGCACTCCTCAAAACATTCTGTAATGCTCAGGAGTCACCTGGCCCCTTGTTCAGGGAGAATTCTAACCTGGTGAATTCTAACCAGTGGCCAGCCTACAAAGATGAGTATCTTGGCTAGAAAGAGACCAAGGGGAGGAAAGCAATGTGATTTAAGTGCTGTCTTGTTTAATGCAATCATATGCTATAAACCATAAAACTTCCTGGTACCCCTTGAATTTCATGTACCACAGGCATTCATTCTGTCCCTTATCCCAATCTTCTTCCCCATTTTGTTGTTGTTGTTGTTTTGATTTTTGTTTTCACCTCCCTGGATACTTAAGGGAATCATGGAAATGGGAGGCCCAGGGGAGACTCTAGCATAGGCTGCACTGCCAAGTGATAAGGTCAGCACATTTTTATGTCATAATAAGGAGGCTGACTTCGATTTGTCTATGGTTATTGTAGCTGCCCATTAGCATAAGGTTGTTTAGCACCTACAGTTTATGCTTTGGGTTAAGGATGGGCTCTGTGCTTTCCCATGTTTTCTCTGGACTGTTGTAAAATCACACATGCTTTTCAAGTCTAGCCATTTCTAGGTTTCCTCTCCCTTTGGTATCTGACTGCAGGAGTGAAACTGGGAAAATTCTTAATTCCTGGTAGAAGTCAATAATTACATCAGTCAAAACAATGTATCAAAATGAAAACAAAACAAGGAACAACAACAAAACACACACACACACACACACACACACACACACACACACTGGAGGTCTGGTAAATATTACACAGTATTTAAAAGTATAAGAATTGGCCTACTATGTGTTCAATAACCATTCTTGGAGGCCTATATTTTAATGTTATCAGGTGGATTGAAAGGAAGACTGTTTTTTTTTTTTTTCCTTTTCTCGACAAGTTCAACTAGATCCAAGGGAAATGCTAGGTTTCTCTAGAAATGTTCTGTAATTTGGGGGCATCACTTATTCTCTTGTTTATGAAGGTGATGAAGACCCCATCTGGTGAATTCTAACAAATGTCTATTCTACAAAGATCAGGGTCAGTGCAGAGGAATGGCCTCTTCAGTGCTTTCAAGTGAAGGCTTACATCACATAGATGGAACAGCAGGTATAAGAAAGACTAGAAGATGCAGAGACCCCTGAGGGCAAAATCACCAACTGGCCTTGGTGGCACATAAAAAGAAGAGGAAGAGATGATAAATTTTGGTTTCCTTCAATGTCTTAACAAGCAAGAAAGTATAAGCAAAACTGAATATGCCTGGTATGCTCAACCATTATAATGGCTCTAGTCTATACAAAGTATTCCTTGGACAACTACTTCTCACTAGCTAATTTCTTCTTGATAAGAAAAAAAAAAAAACATGCCCATATATAAGCCTTCAGACCTCACCTTGAAATAGCACTTACAGTCAAAGAGAATTGTTTTAAGCTAAAACTCGTATGATGATCAAATATCTAGAAGCCATATGAAGACATTTTATTTATTCTGGTTACTTCAACAATTACCAAAAAGCCTGAAAACACACCTTGGGTTCATCGTTCTAGAGATCAGCCTTAAAGGCCAAAGAACAGTAAGGAGGGGCTCAACAGATGCATGATCTTTAGAGCCCATGGAATGGACTTTGATTTGAACATTTAAACCAGACTGTGTCCTGGCTTCTGGTTCTCTGCCTAGGACTAGTAATGTTAATAACTTATGCTTTTACTTCTCCCTCACATCTCTTTCCAGACATTAGACATGTGGAACTTTATTACAGAAGACATAATGTTGGGTGACCTTGGGCATTAGTGGTCATCTGGAAAGGCTTGCAACTTTTGACCCATAAAAGAGGCAAAAGAAAACAAACAAACCAAAAGGGCAAAATTCAAAGGATAAAAACAAAAACATTAAAAGTAAAAGAATTCAAACCAGAGGCAGCAAAAGCAGGAGGCAGAGGCATGTCAAGAGAGAACAGCACTGTAGCAACAGAAGGCTAGAAACAGTCAACTGGGAAAAGACACATACAGGTGCGCAGGCCCAACTGCAGACTCTGAGCCACCAATGTGAAAGTACGACCAAGCATCTCTGGCAAAAGGAATGTACATTGAAACTGCTTAGATCTTAAGTCATAAATAGGTTAAGATGTATTACTTACCCGGTTTATACTGCTGTTCCCTATAATAGCCTGAAGGAGAGTTTTCTCAAATTCTTCCAACTTCTTAGAACATTTCTTAAGAATATGATTAGATAAATTAAAATCACTCGCCAGTCTAGCTAATGTACCAACAGCTTGAGTCCAAAAGCTTGAGGAAGGGAGTTTGGGGTTACGGTAAAAGGTTATCAGGCCATCTAACAACTTCAAAACAGACTCAGAAACTATAGAAGAGTCTTTTTCAAAGTGAGCTAAGTATATTTTCAGACTACTGGATTCTGTCAGTTTCTTGAGTTCAAGCAGATGTTGCAAGAACTGCATGTGTGAAGACGGAGGATTGTCCAGGGCGGGGTATGGCTTGTTCTCAAGAGGCAGTGGTAGAAGGGATGGGGGACTGCAGCTCTCCAACCAATGCTGGGACAGCTCTGCAGGTTCACTTCTCTGCTCGTTTGATAAAACACATCCAGAATCATCCATCAAAGCCAACGTATTTTCAGAACTTGTAGGCTCCTGATCTGGCAACACAGCAGGGAACACATCATGTCCTGAAACAGAAAAGGACAAAAGCATTATCTTCCTGCAGCTAAATGTCTTAATGATGATACAATGATTCTATTCTAAATGAAAATATAACATAAAGCATGCAAGCAGACAATCAAAAAATAAAACAAATCATTCAAAGAATTGTTTCAGTTCTGCGTGGAAGAGGAAGCACAGAGTGATTGTGACTTCCTAGGGGAACACTTCTCCACTGCTGGTGGGAGTGCCAGCTTGTACAGCCACTGTAGAAATCAGTATGGCGACTCCTCAAGAAAATGGGAATCAGTCTACCACAAGATCCAGCAATTCCACTCCTAGGCATATACCCAAAAGAAACACATTCATAGAACAAGGACATCTGTTCAACCATGTTCATAGCAGCATTATTTGTATTTCCAGCCAGAAACTGGAAGCAGCCTAGATTCCCCTCAACCGAAGAATGAATAGAGAAAATGTGGTACATTTACACAATGGAGTACTACTCAGCAGAAAAAAAACAATGAAATCTTGAAATTTGCAGGAAAATGGATTGAGGAAACCATTCTGAGCGAGGTAACCATCCTGTTTCTTAATGCTGATGTTGGTACTTATAACTAACATTTACTTTAACAGCCAAGGCTTTCTTCTGGAAAATATTTATGGCTTAACTAGCTAAATAATAATGGGCAATTATATAGTGATTGTCACTAAGATAGAAGAAGAAACACACTTTTTTCTTAGAATTAAACAACTCCAGTGCCACTATTAATGCATTATAATCTCTGTCAATGGTCATAAGCAAGGCATTTATTGATAAAGGCAAGTTTTTAAATGCCCAATCTGTTTGAGAATATACATCATGGAAATAGCAATATATCCGTGACCCATTAAGAGAGCATTCTACAGCAGCAATCAAAACCTACTCATGTGTTTGAATCTGTTTTCAGAGATCTCAAAACTAATAGAAACATCATACCACGTAGACTTCACAGATATGTACAGTATACTCAATCCAACAAAACACACATTCTTCTCAACAGCTCCTAGAACTGTCACTATTTTACTACACATTATAAGAACTGTCACTATTTTACTACACATTATAGGCCACAAAGCAAATTTTAAAAATATGAAACCACACAAATATTCCAAAATTAAACAAGTACACTCTGTAATATCCAGTGGGCTACTGAAGAAATCATGGAGGAAATTTAAAAGTAGCTAGAATCATATACAAATAGGAATGTAATTTACAAGAACTTTTGAGTTATAGCTAAGGCAGTTCTTTTTACAGAAACATTCACAGCAATATGCATTCCTTAAATAATAAGAGAGATCTTATATAATTAAGTACCACAAAGCCTTAAAGAAACAGTAAAAATAAAAACCAGAAGCAGTAGATAGCAAAAAAATTGTAAAGATCAGGGTGCCCAATCCCTATTTATACTTCTTCTACAAACCCCTGCACCCCTGTTCCCTACAGTTGGGGAACATTGCTGTAGAGAAGACAGGCAGATTATAAGTCGACCAAGGAAGTTAGACCCATGACACCTCAACAATATGGCTGCCTAAGGAAGACCTGAACAGAATCAACAGGCATGCTTACATGGAAGGATGAAATCTCACAATGATCCAACACAAGATGAAAAACTGTAAGCAATTGCAATTTAGAACTGCTAAGAGAGGGAGAATTATTTTAGCCAGGGACAAGCCCCTAATAAGTTATCTAATATTGTGTTCAGTCCTAAAGATATATACATATAAGCAACAAAAACAGACTTAAAATGTCTTATTTATATGTTTGTGCATTTATTTATTATATATGTATGTAGCAAATTACAATTTAAGAAATAAAGATAAATTTGAGAGAAAACTAGGAGGGAAACATGGGAAGAAATGGAGGGATGAAAAGGAGGGGGAAATGAGATAATTATATTTTAATTTTTAAGATTTCTTAATACTAAATAATTATGAAGATTGAAGAAGAAATTAATAAAATGGAAACTAAAAGAATAATATATAGACTCAAGCAAGCAGGGCTGATTCTCTGGAAAACTAAACAAGTTGGGTAAAGCCCCTAGCAAAAATATCCAGAGAGAGATAAAAAGAGGGAGACACAAATTATTAAATTAGGGAAGAAAGGGGGAATTTAGAACAGATCCCAGTGCATGGGTCATAGGCATCTGAGTTTGTGCCTTCTGGTACCACAAAACTTCTCGTACCACAAAAGCTAGTTCTGAGGCACAAGGCATTCAGGTCAGTTCCAGTTCAGGGGCTCTGGACCCTGTATCAGAAGTGCACATTATCTTTAGCAAAATGGACTTACCTTCTACTTCTGGGGGACAACCAAGAGCAATAGCAATGGCCTATAATGTTTCTGGAGTATCTTGGACAGCCAAGACAAATAACCTGAAAAATGTATTCATGCCTTGTGTTCTGGTTTTTGTTAGACAGTCATTGGCTCTTAGAGGGAGCACTGCCAGCCCAGCTAAGAAATTTTCATTTAAACTACTTATTTATACCCCAAATTACATTTATTATAAGTTTTTAGGTAGACACTGTATGATACTAGATGAGAAAAGTAATCAGCAGTCTCACACATCTGCAAACCATGTGGCTAAAAACAATGCCTGGCCTGGAAAATACACTGGTGCAATAGTGACACAGACATTATGGGAGTAACCAACTACTTTTGTATTAGATTTAAGGTTCACTCCATGAAATGGAACCCATACACAATACTGCTAAAGTAAGCCAGGCATTGGTGGCACATGCCTTTAATCCCAGCACTCGAGAGGCAGAGGCAGGGGTATCTCTGAGTTCGAGACTAGCCTGGTCTACAAGAGCTAGTTCCAGGATAGCCTCCAAAGCCACAGAGGAACCCTGTATCAAAAAACCAAAAAAAAAAAATACTGCTAAAGTAGCCAAGAAGTAGCTATGTCCTACAGTTGGCCCTAGTAGTAAATTTAACTATTATTTTGCCAAAGCAATATAACAGTGAAATATCTCCTAATGACTTGTTTTTGTAACTATAGATCAATGCCTAATGCACCCCTCATGAGGGATGCTTTTTCTTCCAGCAGCTGGGAATTAACACAGAGACCCACAATTTGACAATATACAGATAGTGAAAGACTTTGGAGAACTAAATGTCTTCATCAAATCCCTTTCCTCAATGCTCAGGATTCTACCTGCAAAAGGAGACAGAAAAATTGTGACAGCTAGTGGTGATTGACGACTTTAAGAAATCAGCCAAGGATACCTACACAAGACACCCAAACACGGAGTGGCGCGGGGGGGGGGGGGGGGGGGGGGGGGGGGGGGGGTGATAAGAAATTCAGTGGTTTGCAAGAATAAGGGATTCAGAATGAGTGGGAGGAACATAAGATGGTAATGGGAAGTGAATATAAGTGCAATAAAATATACATTTGTGAAATTTTCAGAAAATGTTCTAAAATCAAAAGTTGTAATGAATATGTTGCATTAAAAGCCATTAAATTGTATAAATATGCAAATTATATGTTACAGAATTTATTCACCAGTAAAGATTTCCTTAAAGAAAATTTTGGCAAACTGAATTCAAGAACACATTAAGAAGATCACACACCATGATTTAGTTGGTTTTATTCCAGGAATACAATATTGTATCTGTGTACACAAATGAGTAATTTTAATTTAGTATAAAAATATCCAGAGTGTAGAAAAGGCTTTGGTAAAGTATAACATTCCTTCATGGTGAAACCCTGAAGAAACTTAGGAAGAAGGAACACATCTCAAAAACCACATGCTATTATCAACAATCCTGTAGTTATCTCTCTACTAACTGGAAAACTGAGAGCAGTTCCTCTAAAATCTGAAAGGAGATAAAGGTGTTCCCTCCCTCCACTTCTTTTGAATACAGCACTTGACATCTTGGTAGAGTAAGAGGACAAGAGAAAGAAGTAAGAGGGAAAACAATAAACAATTTGAATACATATGGGAAACAAAGAAGCCGAAGTATGCATAATTACAGATGACAAGATCCAGGTTTTCAACTATCTTAAAGACTCCAAATAGAGAACTGTTACATCTGATACCATGTTCAGCAGAGTAGCAGGACACACAATCAATACCCCAAAACAAGTACTTTCTATATGCTAGAAATGAACAGAGAAAGAAATCAGTTCGTTGTGCCTTCAAAAAATTCAAATACCTAGGAATAAAATTAAAAACATCTATGTAGTAACTGAAGATCTCCTACAATCATAGATTATTAGAATGATGTGAAAAACGGTTGTATTGTTGAGAAAAATCAATCGATTAATTCCCTTTCCATTAAAATGTTAAGCATTTTCTTCTCAGAATGAGAGAAAAAATAGGGAAGCACCAAAGATTCTAAGCAGTCCAATACCAAGCAGAAAGAAAAATGATAGAGACAACATTTATCCATACAGAGCCATAGCAGTAACACTGCATGGTAGTGATGCAAAATCACACACATATAAAGAACAGAGAAACTAGGCAAAAATTATCACAGTAAAAGCAGAGGACTTTAGCAAAAGATGACAATAATATATATTGGAGAAAACAACAACCTTTCCAACAAATGATGCTGAAAAACTGGGTATCTACATGATTAAGAATGAAATAAAATCCACATCTCTCACTCTGTGTAAAAGTCAACTCAAACAGTAAAGGCCATAATATAAGACCTCAAATTGTGAAACTATTAGAGGAAAACTGAAGAAGAACCCTTCAAGATATAAGCACAAGCAAGGATCCCAATAACTCAAGAAATTAAAAAAAAAGATGAACATGAGAACATGAGATTAGATGAAATTAAGAGGCTTCTTCACAGGAGAAGAATAAAAAAAAATTGACTGAGTAAATAGAAATCCTCCTAAATGAAAGGGCCATTTCTTAATTTACTATGGTGCTTAAGTACTGAAAATAACAGTGTTCCAACCTGGAATATATGATCTTCCTAACATGCTTTTTAGTAGATTTAATAGAGATAAGCTGTACATAAACACATAGATACTATAAT